GATATCAATGTTGTCTTGATTATTTAAAGAGTGGATGCTGGATGTAGGATCTGATCTTGACCTAGAAGTTTATTATAATTTAGTCCCAATCAAAAGTGATTAACAGTCTAGGCCAATACATTATCATGAGCAATATTATGAAGCAGAAATGCATCTACACAGTAGGAAGACATAGGATGGAGTTGAGGAGGCTACCCAAGTTCAATTATATTGAAGTCAAGACATAAATCTGTATAGAAATGGTGAAGCCAGAGCAAGATATCTTTGAGAGCCAGTTGTTGTTTCTGGGGAAGTGAAAGTTCCTTGTTGCTAAGCAGCTAAATCTAGAACTTAGTCACCTGAGAAACAAAAGGGGGTGGGCTTATGTTTCCTTTTGTTATGTGGACTACCAATCTTTGCTCATTGGTAAGTGTAGTACAAACCATCTGGAAAGAAAAGGCCGTTGGAACTACTGTTTCTTCTGCTAGTAAGTAACTCATTAAGTTTGGCTCCATGTACAAACTGGTAGCCAAAATATTATGGAGAATATGAAGTTTAATTTTGTTTTGTTTTCTTTTAAAAAATGAGATAGACTTGAACATGGGTTGGGTAAGATGTTGTGCATAAGGTGACTAACCGTTCCAGGACTGAAGGGGTACTGGGATACAGGACTTGCAGTTTCTTTAACCTAGGAACCAAAACTGTCCAGGGCAAACTAGAATGAATTGCTTACCGTAACTGCCAGTTAAAGACGAGTAAAATAGGAGAAAGAAGAGTTGAACATAGGAAAAATTGACAGGATCAGTCCTCAAGCATGTAGAAGATATGAGCCTGGAACAGAAGATGAGAGGCTACTATTTGAATCTGGGAGAGGGTCACTTTTCCACTGAGACTGGGATGTGGGGCGGAGTAGAAGAGAAGTAGAAATGGGCTAGATTTGCATTGGTTTGTACTAGTGAAAATCCTAGAAGCCATTTTGTCTTTGAATTTGACCTCACCATAGATATACATACGATTTTTTTACTGTATTCCAGAGTAAGAAATCCATTTTTTGTTGTGCCCCAGTGGCTACACACACACAGACACACCACAAATTTTGGCATTCCTTTGCTAAGGAATTCCTAGAAATGTCCTCTGATATTTTTATTCAATTTCCTTAAAGAAAAAACTGCAGCTTGTGACCATTAAACTGATTTCATGACCTGCTAATGAGTCTACATTAGTGACAGACAGATGGAAAAACAGTACAATTGAACATGAAAGAATAAGAGGAGATATGTCCTGGCTGGTGTAGCTCAGTGGATTGAGCACAGGCTGTGAACCAAAGTGTCACAGGTTCGATTCCCAGTCAGGGTACATGCCTGGGTTGCAGGCCATGACCCCCAGCAACCGCACATTGATGTTTCTCTCTCTCTCTCCTTCTCCCTCCCTTCCCTCTCTAAAAATAAATAAATGAAATCCTTAAAAAAAAAAAGAACAAGAGAAGATATGGAGAGGTAGAGGTCAGGAGAAATTTGAAACAGCTGTGAAGAAAGGAAGAGTTGATAAAACATATGGAAGAGGGCTGTTGTCTACTCTCAGATTTCAATAACTTTAGAGCATATGGATTTTTAATGGCACCACTTTACATTATTGATGGTAGATTGATGTTCCTTTACAAGTTAGGTCTCTGGGGTCTTAGGAATAATATAATGAGGGCAAAGAGTGTGACTCAAAGATTCTGTGAAGCATTTTCCTATTATTGCCTGCTCTCAAGATGAGTGCTAAGAAACACAATATGACATGGTTAATATAGCTTATTAGCCTTCTTCACAACACTGTATTTTTCTCAGCCCTTCTAACTTTCCATCCACAACTGCCACTCTGTATCAGTAACAAGCATATCAAGAGAGATACAGAGAATATCACCTAATTTAGAGATCTTTATCCTTGGAAATTTATATATATATGCATATAGTTGAACTTGTGTGTGAACTTTGCTTTTTTTCTTGTGAGCTACTTGACCCCCCTGGAATAAAGTGCCTATCCTTTCACAATGTAGTGTACTCATATGGATCCAAGCTCTCTAGGCAGGTTAACATTAAGGATATTGTTCAGAGTGAAACAAGTCTTCCTGATCTACCAGCATCCACATTGCAAATCTAGGATAAATTTAAAACTTAAATACTGTATGTTAGAAAAAAAAAGATGAAGTCTACTTGGTTAACTATTTAACTCTGTGATTGAAAGGTAATGAGAATGTATTGACTCCTGACACTATACATAAATCAGGAGCTCCATATTGGGGTGGGGGGAGGTGAATGTAACGTCCAGGAGAGCAAGTAAAGAAAAGAGCAATATGGCATAGGAGGGTTTGAAATATCAGCAGACTTCTTGTTTCCATCGCTTAGGCTGGGGAGCCATTACTGACCTTTCCAGTTCTGATTATGCATTCCCCTTTTAAGATTTTCACAAACATATTGAGTGGAAAAAGTATATGGCAGAACTAAACCAGTTTTGTTTGTTTTGCAAATTAGTGTTATTGTAGAGCTTCAGAGAGTTGAAGGTTTGGGCATAAAGTGGCTGAAGTGATAGAACTGGTCACCTAGGCTCAAATGGAACAGAACTAAAGATAAAGTATAAGACTGAGAGAAATAGCTGATGATGAAAGACAAAAGTATTTGGGTTCTCTTTGAGTCTGACAAATAGGTATAGCCAGGAGTAAGGGAGAGCTGGAATGATTAAAATTACTGATAAATTGCTTAGGATGTAAGTAATGGTTTGGTTTTGCTTTGTTTGGTGATGACATGGTATAGATTATGACTGTGGGTTGGTAAACTGAAGTACACTGAAACTGAATTGGAGGGGTTGAAAAATGTTGAAAAACCCTTCTGATTTTCAGATGAGTTGTCTATACTTGCTATTGTTGTTTATGGTGAAGGTAGGATTTTGATGGAGATAAGTCTACCAGTCAGGTATCAAAAACAAAAGTTTATACAAGAATGATAGGGAATTGGACTTCCAGTCAACATAGAGGTGTAGGTAAACATGATTCACCTTCTTGCACAACCACAAAAAAATTACAACTAAACTAATGAACAACCATCACTCAGAACAGTCAGAAATCCAGTTGAATGGAAGTCTGACAACTATGGAATTAAAGAAAACATATCCATCCAGACTGGTAGGAGGGGCAGAGACATGGTGACGCTGAATGGGCTGGTTCCACACCCACGTGTGGTGGATAAAAATTCAGGAGGGATATCTCAGGAGCAAGGAATCTCAGCCCCAAACAAAGCCCCCATCCCAGGGTTCCAGTGCCAGCAAGGTAAGACCCCATAACTTCTGGCTGCAAAAACCAGTGGGGATTAAGTTGGTGGAAGAAACTTCTGGAGTTCCGAGCAGTTTCTCTTCAAGAACTCACACACGGACTTACTCACACTTACTCCTTCTAAGCTCCAGCACTGGGGTAGCAGCTTGAAAGGCACCAGTGGCATATGGTGAGGAAATGAAGTGACAGGCAGCCTGACATCAAGGCAAGAGCTGGGAGACAGCTTTCTTCCCAACAGAAAGGCAGATAGAGGCCACTGTTCCTTTTCTGAGCCCTCCCCTCAGAGTCACAGAGCTGACAGGCAGGGACCATATCTGAGACTCCATCAATCTGGCTAACAATGTTTGCCTTGCCCTGGAGATCCCCTGAGGCTCCACCCACCCAAGCTGTTAACAGTGGCTTTTCCATATGAGTAACTGGTTGTGGCTCATGCCTCACAATTTCCTAATTTCTCTCAAACAAGCAACCAGCCTCAGTAAGTCCCTAGCCCCTATACCTCTTGCTAAGTGACCCTAAGCACAGCACTAGCACCAGCCAGCCTAGGTTCACAGCTTGGCTTTGCCTGGGAACCTCCACAACCAACACAAGTAGCAGCCATCTGCAGATTGCTCTATAGCTCATGCAGAGTGGCCTCAGGAAGAACACAGGTGTGGGATAATCTTGGCCTGCACCACTCAGGAAACCCCAGAGCCTGTGCACCCAGTAGACAGCTACAGACCACATTGGAGCACCACCACCCTGCCCCTGAAAAGCTGATTCTACATAGAGGGCAGAGGTTGGTGGCCAGCGGTCACAGCCAGTCCATCCTCGCAGCTCACTGGCCTGAATAAATCCCTCCCATTGACCACCCAACAACAGTCAAGGCTCAATGACAAGAGGAGGGTGTACTCCTCCTTGAGTACCGGTAGTCCAGGATGTCAAATATAGCAGGATGAATGGTTTACAAATGACTTTGCAGGCTGTGGAGAATAGGAACCCAGGCTCTGGCCCATGAGGTACATAGGGCTTCTGAGAATTGGATTTCTCCAGGGTGAGCTTTAGAGAAAGCAGTAAAATCTGTTGAAGCTCAAGTTTAATAAGATAAGTAGATACAAGGAACTCTGTGAAGGGGGTTAGGATTGAGTCTGGTTCTCGCTCTCTCTCTCTCTCTCTTCGTCATTGAAAACAAAAAAAAAAGCCAAAGTCATAGGGGAAGCTTTACAAACAGATGATACAGAGTAATTTGAATCAGGGGAAAGGAAGTATTGACTAGAAATGAATTCAGAGCACAGAAGATCATTGCTCAGGCATCTTCATTTCCATGTCCTATGCAAGTCTTCTCAGATTAAATGAAAACTGGACTATCTATCATCCAACTTCAACAATTATTAACATATGACCAATACCCTAACTTCTATAACCCCAAACTTCCCACCCCCATTTATTGAAAGCAAATCCAAAGCATTTTTGTGATTCATTAATCACTTTTTCACCACTCAATTCTTTCTCCCTCCCACTTTCCTTACCCAATCCCATCACCTTCCCCACCCTCCTTTTTATTTTCAATTTCAGCACTGCAGCTTTGGTGGCCAGCTCTGTTAGGACTCAGATCCTTAAAGGGCAGCTCTAGACAATGACCAGCTCAGAGGGATAAGCCAGACCAACAGTATCTCACCTTCTTTTTCTCTGGACAGATGACTTCATAACGGAGGCTGCTGAGACCAGGGTGTCCATGAGAGTAATTCTCCTGCTCCTCTGGCTTGGGGTGTCTCTATCCCCTCCTGGCCTGTCCCAGGCTAGGCCCCCCAGCTCCCAAGAAGTGGTGGTCCCCTTGAAGCTGACCAGCAAGGGCAGAGGTGCAAAGGCTCCAGGCTGGCTCTCCTATAGCATTGAGTTTGGGGGCTGGAGACACATTGTCCACATGAGGGTCAAGAAGCTCTTGGTTTCCAGACACCTACTGGTGTTCACCTACTCAGACCAGAGTGCCCTGCAGGAGGATCAGCCCTTTGTTCCTAATGACTGCTACTATCATGGTTATGTGCAGGGGGTCCCTGAGTCCCTGGTTGCCCTCAGTACCTGTTCTGGAGGCTTTCGAGGAATGCTACAGATAAATGACCTTGCTTATGAAATCGAGCCCATCAGGCACTCTACCACATTTGAACACCTGGTTTATAAGATCAACATTAATAAGACTCAGTCTCCACCTATTAGATGTGGCTTAACACAGAAGGAAATACACCAACACCTGGGATTTGAAGAGGCAGAGACGACAACTCTGAAGCAAATTTCTACTGATAATTGGTGGGCCCATTCATGGTTTTTGGAGCTGGTCGTGGTGGTAGATCAAAATTTCTTCATTTACTCCCAAAGTAACTTCTCAAAGGTGCAGGAAGATGTATTTCTTGTTATCAACATAGTGGACTCCATTTACCAGCAGTTGGATACTTATGTGATTTTGATTGGGATTGAGATTTGGAATCATGAAAATATTTTCCCAATGATAAGCATAGAACAGGTTCTGGAGGATTTTGCTCAGTGGAAGCAAATCAGTCTTTCACAGCTACAGTATGATGCTGCACATATTTTCATTAAAAATTCACTTATAAGTGCACTTGGTATAGCCTATGTTGCAGGAATATGTCGTCCTCCAATTGACTGTGGAGTTAATAATTTCCAAGGAGACCCCTGGTCTCTTTTTGCACTCACTGTGGCCCATGAGTTAGGCCATACTTTGGGTATGCTGCATGATGAAGAATTCTGTTTATGTGGGCAAAGTGGTTGCATTATGAATGCTATCAGAGTGCCAGCAGAGAGATTCACCAACTGTAGTTATGGAGATTTTACAAAAACCACTTTAAACCAGGGATCATGTCTGCACAATCCTCCAAGTCCAGGGGAAGTCCTTATGCTGAAGCGCTGTGGGAACAATGTGGTTGAAGGGGAAGAGGAGTGTGACTGTGGATCTATAAAGCAGTGTGAACAAGATCCCTGTTGTCTCTTGAACTGCACTCTGAGGACTGGTGCTGCTTGTGCTTTTGGGCTTTGTTGCAAAGACTGCAAATTCATGCCATCAGGGGAAGTCTGCAGACATCAGATCAACGAATGTGACCTTCCAGAGTGGTGCAATGGGACATCCCATCAGTGCCCAGAAGATGGATATGTACAGGATGGGGTTCCCTGTAGTGACAATGCCTACTGCTATCAAAAGAGATGTAATAACCATGACAAACAGTGCAGAGAGATCTTTGGTGAAGTTGCAAAGAGTGCATCTCAGAATTGCTATGAAGAAGTCAACTCCCAGGGAAACCGTTTTGGCCACTGCGGTCTAAATGGAACGGCATACCTAAAATGCAATACCTCAGATATCTTTTGTGGGAGGGTTCAGTGTGAGAATGTGGGAGACATTCCCAATTTAAGAGATCACTCTGCTTTGCAGCACACTCATGTAAATGGTGTCACCTGCTGGGGTATAAGTTATCGTTTAGGGATGAGCACACCTGATGTTGGTGAAGTGAAAGATGGCACCGTGTGTGGTTCAAAAAAGATCTGCATACACAAGAAGTGTGTCAGTCTCTCTCTCCTGTCACAAGTCTGCCTGCCTGAGACTTGCAACATGAAGGGAATCTGCAATAACAAACATCACTGCCACTGTGGCTATGGGTGGTCCCCACCCTACTGCCTATATAGAGGCTATGGAGGTAGTGTTGACAGTGGCCCAGCAGCTGCCAGAAAAGGAGTTTTCTTTCCACTAGTTATGATTCTTAGTTTGTCTGTTTTGCTTCTACTGTTGGCCACTCTATTTACATACCTTCAAAACCACTGTAGTTCTAAGGAGATCAAGGCTCACACTTCAGATTAAGAAAGTGCCTCTAATTTAATATCCTATGCATCACAACATTTTAGTTTATTGGAGGTAGAAATGTTACATGCCTGAAAACGAGCACATTTCTGATAGTTTACAGAAAAATGAAGACCTTCCTTTTCGTCAGTATTAGAAACATTGCCATCAAGAAAAGGTAATTTCTAACATTTTCCTAGCTGTTTATTGTGTAAGCAGCCAATAAAGCTCCAGTTTCACTCTGAGTTGGTCCTCTTTGTGTCTCCTGAGTGCATATATGATTCACAGGAAAGCCAAGAGACAGACATGTAAAGACCCATGGGTGAGTCTTGCCTCTCCATTTATTCCCAAAGTAATTTCTCAAAGGTGCAAAGGATACATTTCTTGTTGTCCTCTAGTGGATACCATTTATCAGCAGCTGGGTGCTTATGTGATTTTGACTGGGACTAGAATTTGAAATCATGGAGATATTTTCCCAATGATAAGCCTAGAACAAGTTAAGACTGCAAGTTCATACCATCAATGAACTCAGGTCAATGAATGTCCAGAGTGGTGCAATGGGGCATCCCATCAGTGCCCACAAGATGGATATGTGCAGGATGGGGTTCCCTGTAGTGACACCACCTACTGCTATCAAAAGAGATGTAGTAAAGTTGGGGAAATTACTTAAACTTTCTAACATTCTCCTCTAAAATCTGAAAAGAAGGATGATAATATTGCTTGTCCCACCCAAACTCTTGGATTTATTTGGTAACCAAAAGTGAGAAATTCTTGTTAAGGCATAAACAAATTGTTTATTTATTAAAAATTCCTGCCCTGTTCCCTCTGTGTTTTCTAGTCAAGTTTATCTACTCTAATTCTTTGTTATAATTTGGTGGTTTGGGTATCCTCTTGGAGTATTTTCTTTGAATACCAGAATATACTCTCTGTCAGGACAGGGTTGTTTTTATCTGTTTTGCACACTGTTTTATCCCAACACATAGAACATGGTATAATAAAAAGAAAATCTGAAAGAAATAATTAATATAAACAGATTATTAATTGTATGCAGTTAATTAGGAAAAGTAAAAATAAACCTTCATCCTGTTTCTTTGAATGGTTCCTTTTATTATTTTTAATATATTGTATTGATTATGGTATTACAGTTGTCCCATTTCTCCCCCTTCATTCCCCTCCACCCTGCACACCCTCTCCCACCCACATTCCCCTGCTTTAGTTCCTGTCCATGTGTCTTAAGTTCTTTAGCTTCTACATTTCCCATACTATTCTTGCCCTCCCTCTGTCTATTTTCTACCTATCATGTATGCTACTTATTCTCTGTACCTTTTCCCCCTCTCTCCTCCTCCCACTCCCCTGTTGCTAACCCTCCATGTGATCTCTATTTCTGTGGTTCTGTTCCTGTTCTAGTTGTTTGCTTATTTTGTTCTTGTTTTTAGGTGTTTTAGGTGTGGCTGTTAATAATTGTGGGTTTGCTGTCATTTTACTATACGTGTTTTTTTATCTTCTTTTTCTTATCTTCTTTCTTACATAAGTCCCTTTAACATTTCATAAAACAAGGGCTTGGTGGTGATGAGCTCCTTTAACTTGACCTTATCTGAGAAGCACTTTATCTGCCCTTTCATTCTAAATGAAAGCTTTGCTGAATAGAGCAATCTGGGATGTAGGTCCTTTACCTTTCATGACTTGGAATACTTCTTTCTAGCCCCTTCTTTCCTGTAAGGTCTCTTTTGAGAAATCAGCTGACAGTCTGATGGGAACTCCTTTGTAGGTGACTGTCCCCTTGTCTCTTGCTGCTTCCAGGATTCTCTCCTTCATTTTTACCTTGGCTAAGGTAATTATGATGTGCCTTGGTGTGTTCCTCCTTGGATCCAACTTCTTTGGGACTCTCTGAGCTTCCTGGACTTGCTGGAAGTCTATTTCCTTTGCCAGATTGCGGAAGTTCTCCTTTATTATTTGTTGAAGTAAGTTTTCCACTTGTTGCTCTTCCTCTTCTCCTTCTGGTACCCCTACAATTTGGATGTTGGAATGTTTAAAGATGTCCTGGAGGTTCCTAAGCCTCTCCCCATTTTTTTGAGTTCTTATTTCTTCATTCTTTTCTGATTGTATGTGGTTTTCTTCCTTCTGGTCCACTCCATTGATGTGAGACCCAGCTTTCTTTCCATCACTGTTGGTTCCCTGTGCATTTTTCTTCATTTCACTTCTTGTAGCCTTCATTTTTTCATCTAATTTGTGACCAAAATCAACCAATTCTGTGAGCATCCTGATCACCAGTGTTTTGAACTGTGCATCTGATAAGTTGGCTATCTCTCAGTCACTTAAAAGTATCAGTTCTGAGGCTTTCATTTGTATTTGTTCTTCTGTTTGAGCCATCTCTCTCTCTTTTTTTTTTTTTTTGGTCTGGTTGCGCCTGTTACATATGAGGGGCAGAGCCTTAGGTGTTCACCAGGGAGGGTCAACCCCGTCACTGGGTTGTGATGCTGTATGTGGGGGCAGGGTCCAAGAGGGAACAATGGCACTTGCTCCTGTCTGAGTTGGACTTCAGTCCCTTCCACCACTTCCCCCAAGCAAAGTGGGCCTTTCTGGTGCCAATTCCTGTGTGGGTGGGCTTGTGCACCCCGTGGGTCTTTCCAATGACCTCTCCTGTGAGGCTGGGAGTCTCTCCCTGCACCTCAACCCCCACAGGTGTTTTCAATCAGTGCCCCAAGGTTCTATTTCCCAGCGCTGGGATCGTGGGTGCGTGCAGTGCCTTGCTTCACAATCGGCACCTCGCTGGGTCTGCCAGTTGCCACCCCTCGGCCAGGGTCTGCCAGCCACTGCTTGCACGCTCAGGGTCCCCCCACTCCAGTTTTGCATGCCTGGGATGCTTTACACCATCCCATTGTTCTTGGTTTTCAACCCCTCTCTGCCCAGCTGCCCAACTCCGCCCCTCCTACCGGTCTGGATGAACGTGTGTATTTTAACTCCTTGGTTGTCAGACTTCCATACAGTTCAATTTTCTGTCAGTTCTGGTTGTTATTCTTTTTCCAAACTGCTGTCCCTATCTTGGTTGTGTGAGGAGGTACAGTGTGTCTACCTCTGCCCCCATCTTGGCCGGACGTCTGGATGGTATTGTTTTAAGCCAACCCAAACAGATGAAGATAGGTTTGTGGTTACAAATCAAACCCCAGCAGGCTGGTACTGGAGCTTGGTTCTTCTCACTCACACAGTGATGAAATACAGATCATTGAGGTGATCATGGATGAGTCAGAGTTCTATTAGTTCATGCTCATTGGGTAGAACGGGCCTGTGAACAGTGGCAAGACAGGACTAGCATAGAAGGGACAGTAGGAGAGCATAAGCCGCACTGCCTCAGTTCACTGGGAAGTCAGGAAACAGGGCCTTAGGGATGGTTTGAGGGGACATGCCTGGGACAAGGTACCAGATGCCCACTGCCTTAGAGTTCAGGAGATTTGTGCCTGTGAAGAAAAGAGTGGTGCAGGCGAAGAGCAGAATAGTAACAGAATGGTCCTGGCTGCTTCCCAGAGGGAGAGCACACAGGTGAGCACTGGGTCCTTTTTCCTGAGGGGTTTCTCTCTTTCTTGCAGGCAGGAACCTTACGGGAGGTCTCAGGGGAGGGTTTCAGCAGAATTTTCATCAATTCTCCATGTGTGCCCTTTTACGGCCATGGTTTCCTCTGACTGGTCAGTGGCAGGGCAGGGAGTCTTTAGTCACTGCAGTGAGTGCTGGAGCTGCCCACCTGGTTTTGCGGCTTTTCTGGGTCTGGAGCTGAAATACAACTGAGGCCTAGATGTGATCTCCAAGGAGGAAAGGCCAGGGGAAGAAAGGTTACCTTGGGGGTGAGGCTCTTGTTTTGCCAGTTTTGCCCCCTGCTAGGCACTGGGGCCCTCTACCCTGGTGACCCATCTGCACCTGGCTGTAAATTGCTCTTTCATTGTGTTCAGCTACGTGTGGTAAGTCTCCCCATTCCACCTGCCAAGGAATTTTTCTACCTTGTTGGTTGGGGGTTCCTAGGCAAAAGGACAGATCATCATCATGAAAAATATATCATGTAACGATTCTTCCAGTCCTTCCCCTAGAAACCTACACCCATTTTCTGGAGAGTATATGATACAGAAATACCTGGAGTTGAGAGGAGTTTTGGACCCAGAGTCTGCATGGACATTTATACTCTGAGCTCCAAAGTGTCATCATTGATACTGCTATTGGGGCAGCTTCTGGACACCAGCAATAGTGCAGTTCTAGCTGACTACATTCCAGTGGATTTAGTGGTCTGCAGGCTGACCCAGGGGTCAGTTTCCCAAGTCCCCAGGAATATAATTGGGATTGACATCTTTGGCAGTTAGAATGACATCCTCATTGAGTCCATGTGAAGTGGGAGCTGTCATCAGCACACATGTGGTAGGAGCCTTTACTGTTCCTCTACCCCACCAGCATAGTAAGTCAGAGACAATAATGTGCTCTGGGTGACAAGGGGGACATATGTGCCCCCATTAAAGAGTAAAATCCCAGCAGTGCTTGTCCCTCTCAGATCCCCCTTTAAATCACAGTCTAGCCTGTATGGAAATGTGTCAATTGTAATGAATGATTGTAGGGATCCAAAAGTTCTCCCAAGTAGAATCTCTTATTGCAGCTGCTGTCATTGCTAGAGCAAATTAACATGGCCTTGGGTGCATGACATGCAGCCATAGATTTAGTAAATGAGCCCATTTCTATTCTGCTCAGAAAAGTGTGTCAGAAAAAAAACTTAGCATCCATGTGGCATGGACAACTATTTCTCTAGCCTCCAGGGCTATGTTTACTCTCCTGCCTCTAGCATAACATGATCTGCATAGAGCTAGACTGTCTGAACATCCAGAAAACATCCTACTTGTTCATAACTTCAAGAGTATCAAGCAAATAAAACCAGGCAGACATGAGTTGGTTGGTTGGTTCATGGAGGTGTTATTAGGAGACTCACATTCCAAGGGTGCAAGGCATAGCCTTATAGAGTTTGGGAGACATAGCACATTATTGGAATATTTAGGGGTACAGTGCTTAAGGTCATGTAGAGACCACCCTCAGAATCAAGGCCAGTTGTTTCCTCTTGCACTCCTTATCACAAAGAAGATGGTGCCTGATGTTTTTGAAGCAAACATTTCAATCATATGAGTCCTATGCTGGCCCATATTCTGGATAATGAAGGTGGCCATCTTGAGTGGGACCCAAGGCAGGAGAGAGGTTTGCTGTAGTTTTTGGCCTTTTTGCAAACAGACCCCTTCACTGGGGCTTCAATGTGTGGCCACCCAATGTCTCCTACCCTGTGTGGGTATTGGTCATAGGAAAGATGTGGTGTGAAGACTGTGTCAGGCCTCCAAAAGAGAATCACAGCATTGGCTTGGGGTTTCCAAAGAAAACCATGCCATCTGCCCCAGGAGAAACAGCTGTAGGTGTATAGGGGCCCTGGGAAAAATGAGGTATATTGCCATGTGGCTGCAAATGAGCATGAGCCCTGAATCATCCAGTAGAAGCTGGGCTCTTTTGGTTCTACCAAGCCATAAAGTCAGATGGCTGTGACAGCAAGTCTCAGCAAGATCAAAATACAATATCCAGCATCAAGCTCATGCAAAAGGATAAACATTGGTAAGCTGTCTGAGCAGGCAGTTGACATCACCACATCTCTCAACATGATTTCCCCAGGATACTTCACTTGGCTTGTGTATAAACCCACATGAGGGTTTTCCTCAAGCAGCTGAAGGGGGAATAATATGCCCATGTGTGGTATATGGATGGCTAGAGTTGGTACGTGGGTTCAAACCCAATATGGAAGATGACTGCATTACAGTCCTCTTCAGGGATGACATTGAATAGAGAGTACATGGTGAACAGAATCATTGTATTAGGCAGAGTTATGGATAATGCACTTGGTCTTTTAGCTTGTGTAAAAGCACAGGTGGCTCATGGCAGGCCTCTAATGACACCAACTCAGGTGGCCAAGGACCTTACCAGCTGGTCAGCAGCCTGGAAATCAAAGGACTGGAGAGTCAAAGAAAGGGTGTTGTAGGGTAGAGATGCAATGCTGTACATATAGCTGTAGTCAGGAAGTGTGAAGATCTGCCTATCACAGGTCCATGCCTACCAAGAGGCATCCATCCTAGAGGAGGTCCTGAAAAGCCAAGCAGGGAAGTGAGTTGGCCAGTCACCATTAGACAAACTTCATCATTGCCCACCCTGGAACTGGCACTTTGGGCACAGGGACAGAGTAGCCTTGGTAGCAGAGGTGGCGGTTCCCTTGGATTCAATAGCACAGACTCTCAGTTGCTAAGGCAGTAAATCAAGAAAGCTGCTGATGGGTCAGCATTCCTGAAGGAAACCTAGCAGCTAGTTGTTGTGCAGTTGACTGCCTGGGGCCCCTTCCATCCTGGAAGGGCTGTGCATTAGTCCTGGCAAGAATACGTATCTCTAACACTTTTAACAAATTGCCTTTTCTGTCTACAGAGCCTTAGCCAACACCAGTGTTTTGCACTTATACGAAACTGATCAGCATGGCCGTGGCAAATGTAGCCCTGTACTGATCAGTATTGAAACTGATCAATGTGAGGCAGCACACAGGAACCAAGTGTGCAGATGGGCTTTCCATGGGGACTCAGGTCTGCGTTGCAGCTAGGCTGCTATGGGACTTGCTTTCGCTGAAACTCCCTTAACCTGAGTTAAGACTGGAGATGTTTAATGTGTATCTCTGAAGCAACTTCCTAAAGTATGTGCTAAGATGTCCCAAGGACAAAATGTAACCAAATCAATCATTTTTTATCGTCCCCTTGCATTTGCAACTTTTTTCTATTTTTTTTTTTTTTTTGGTATCTGTAAGAAATAATCAGTTAACTAAATCTGGAAATAAGGAGAAACTTCCTTGATGTAATGTAACTGGAAAGTAAAAAGAGCTTCTATAGGCAAGGTTGGGGGGGTTCTCCCCTTGAGAAAGTGGCCGTGCCATCTCTTTTTCTCCACAGGATTCGGTAGTCCATGTCAATTTGTGTACTGCATCCACAACACACATCCCCAAAGATGAAATCGGAGGGATGGAGTCTGAATCACAGGCTTACTTATGGAATGTGTGATATTTAAACACAGAATCCCACATGATTGGGCATGTAAACAGAGGACTCTTCAGGAATGAGGTATATGAATAGGCCCAACCCAATCAAATAGAGAGTTTACACCCATGACAAGTATTTGGCAGCAGCTACACTCATAGTGGGATGGGAGGGCCTACCGAAGACATGGCCAAAATGCCAGCCCGGTTGCAGTGCTCTGTAATGGTAGAGCACAGTCCTTCAGTGTGCAGTGTATATGTAAGTTCAAAGACTGCTCCATGGCACTGTGTATCTGCTACATAGAACAGACGGGACCTGGATTGAAGGAGGAGTTGGGTGGTCACAGTTGCCGTTACTCTCACTGATCCACTGGTGGTTTTTCTGCTTGCCCTCCCTGCACCTGTGTCTTCTCCAGGGTTATAGGTCTTGGCTCACAGGGAATGCACTTTTGCCAGGGACACAGCATGAGTCCTATTAAGCTACAAGCCACAGTTGCCATCATGGCACTTCATATACCTTGTGTCCAAGGACAAGCTGGTGAGAAGGGGAAGTACCAGTTTGGAATGAGAACCAGTTCACTCTGAGTAGCAGAGGAAGAAAAGGCTGCTGAATCTTAGTATAGCTATGGGGGATTCTATCTGGAATCCAGGTAATTGACTTGGCAGTCACATGGGAGTCCCTTGGGCAATGGTAACTGTGAATGGACTTGTATGGCAAACTTGACCTAGAAGGCCTCAGACTCCTTGAGGAAAAAGGTGCAAAGATTTTCAACAAATAATACATAGAGTCCTCTCACTTCACCTTACCTTCCTTCTACTCTGCACCGTTATCTTTCTTTTGGGCTTAATGCTTACCACACTCCATGACTACCTAAAAATACCATGAAGGTTACAAAAACAGCTCTCAGAAATACTATTCTATTGGTTATTGGATCTCCAAACAAGGAGCAGGAAAAGAGGAATAACAGCCGTGAACAAGTCTTGATTAAATGTGAAAGAGCCACTAAATTTAAAACACAGGATGGTTACTGAGATTCTTTCTACCTTATAAACACCCTGCCCTAGGTTCCCACCTGGTCTTCAGGCATTCTGATAGGCTTCACCAAATGCAGCCTTTAACCTCTGTGTCAGGCACATAAACATCTTGTTTCTCTTTTTTTAAAAACGTTATTTGGTGCCATTACCTGAGAGAGGTTGGGGAGACCCCAAACACTGCATGAATGGGTGGAGAACAGCACCTGTCAAACAACCTTATTTCCTTGGGCGGGGCCCTAAGTCCTCCTCCTGTTCTTGGTTCTTTTTATGGGGTGGAGATTGCAGGCTGTGATATTTCTGTAGGTCAACCTTTATCAGACTCATGTCAGTGTTTTCCTTTCATTTCTTGGAGTTCTTTGGGAGAGCAGGGAATTGGGTTTGCCTTGAGGAAGGGCAAGTGCCTTCTTCTGTGTAAGTCTACTTGTACTAGGGGAAGCTAGTAATCTATCCAACCCCCGAGCAGATTAGTGCTAGAGCTGTGGACTGCCACAAAGTTCCTCACTGTGTTAATTTCTTCTGAAAGTGGCAAGTTTTCAGTAAGTACAGTCTTGAAGTGTAGTGGCCTTTTGGTTTCTTGGGCGTGTCACATTTGTATATTGTAGCACGTTAGAAGGAAGAGTATCAGGATAGTTTTTATACCATGGGCGGCTTACTTCAGTCAATCCCAAGAAGGCAAGAAAGAAATATTGATAACCTATTGTAAGATTTCTGAGGCTTCTTTTAAACAACTTCAAACTTCTTCCCCTCCCAAAGACCTTATCATTGTGTTTACCTCTGTTCCTGTGTCTCATAAACCTACTCCTTTTTCACCTCCCAGCTATCCTTATCACTGTCTTCCCTTTGGCCCCTTCCTGTTCCTCTTCCTCACCTTGTGCAGCTCCCCCTCATGTTTGTCTTGGTACTTCAGCCTCTCTGCATATGCCAAAACCCAAGAAATGGGAATGAAACATTTGAAGATTACCCTGAGTATTTCTGATCTTATGCTAACTGGAAAAAGTGCAGCTGTCTTGACTGGGTTGTAGGGAATGTGCCTTGACTATCTGGCACCAGTTAGAAACCACTTTCAAGGATCACACATGTTAGGACTTACCACCACACCGCCACCTTTCTAGACGTTAGGGCCAATAATCCCAATTACCAGTGCTGTTTAGAAACATGAAATGGACTGGCAGACCACACCCATCTTCAGGTTGAAACACTTATTTCACAACTTTGGAGAGAGCATGATAACCAAGGACAAAACCACACACACTGGAACTTATGATACTGCCAGTTAAACAGCTTGATGGAGACAAAAGTTCCCTCACAAATGCCAAAGAGATCAATAGCAGATATTGGAAAACTGGAGAGTCAGAGAGGAATCAGGTTTCAGGGCCTACAGTTATCAGGCTTTGGCAAGTGCACTGCTCAAATGGAAAGAAAATGACTCCCCTGCTAGGAAGACCCTGTCTTGTTTCAGCATTTGCCTTTGAATCAGCGAGAAAAACTGTTTAGCAGATGGCCATCCAACCTTGATTTTAGTAGATTGTGGTGCCAGGTGTACATGCAATAACAGGCTTGACAGGGGCAAATAAACAGGGGCTCAGAACGGTCATTGATGAAGATCCAGATCACTTGACCAGATAAGCCACCTGGACAAGAGGTGCTGGCTGTGAGCACTGTATAAAGGATGGACAAATGAGCATGTCAGTGACTGGCAACCCTCTTGATTCTCTGCTGCTGCATCCTTCTCCAACACTTGGTGGCTGCCGTCATCTGGACTCTGTGTTTTCAGGAAGAGATTTGATCTGAGACCTGAGGGATCTGAATAGCACGAATGTAATGCACCATTTATTAGAGTCTGTTGTGTTGCACTATTTCTATTTCTGAGGTGATTGCTTCCTGTTTCCTTTTCTCTAAATTTTTGTCTCTCTACACATTTCAGTCAGTAGTGAGTTCCACCTGACACTTTATAGATAAGCCTTGCTTAGGCATCTCCTGAAATTTTATACAGGAGAAAGATACCATGATATTAACCACCAGAGACCTTGGGAAGTAATACATCAGTGATGAATCTCTCCATATGTGATGGTTTTACAATAAATATGCAGTGTCAAAGTCATTAGATTTGCAATAACTCACCTTTAAAATATCCCAACAAAATAACGAGATAGACAGAGTTAGCATGTGCGAAGTTCCAAATATGTTTTAGGCCCTTTAGAGGTGCTTTCTCTCGATCATCACAAAAGCCTGGAAGAATACAATTCATCTTTCACTCTGATATGTAACCTGTAACCTTGAATCTCTGAAGGCCCAAGACTTTGTCTACAATAACATACCTAGCAGGTGGTTGAACTCCTGCTGACATTCAGGTGCCTAGAACCAGAATTTTTTATCTGCATACTGTATCTGTCAAGGTTTTGTTTTTAATGCTTCCTTAACACTGGCAAAGAAATGAACAAATGCCAGAAATATAGAACATAACCACTTGGGGGAAGGTCCGATAAACCGTTAAACTGGTGCATACCAGTGCAAAGAAGATTTGCTCTCGGCCCACCTATAAAACATTAGAGTCCACATCATTGTGAATAAGTACAGATCCTCTTGCTAGTGAATGTGAGAGTTCCCACTATCTTCCTTAAGATTGGTGAGAATGTGAACAAACACACATACAAGGTTAAATGAATTTGAACACACAGACCCTTTTTACACTGCCAAGTCATTTTATTTCATGATGACAGCCTTGGAATATCCTTAGGACAATGGTATTATCAGAATGACTTTTGATCATTTATTTCTCCCAGTAAGTGCCAATGTGATTTTCTCCATTTGTACATTCCACTCAGTATTCAGTTGGGCCAAAGGGATTATTCTTCTTCAACTGTCTTCCTCTGAATCTGTGTCCATAACGTCTTTCACGTATGTACAGACACCAGCAACCAAGGAAAGCAACAAAAGAATGGAGCGTAGTAACATGAGTACTAGTGCCTTGTTTATACTAAGTTTTATCCTGGCCCGAGCAAATACATCTTTGTCAGGTGGAGGGCCACTATTTACACTTGCACCTGCTCCGATCTCAGTGCAATTTGGTGGTTTCCATCCTCGCTGACAGTGGCATTCTCCCTCATTGTTGCACACCCCTCTGAAATTGCATTTACTGATGTTGCAGTCATAATTAAATTGTTGGTAAAAAGTACAGTTCTGGCGGCGGCAGTATTTTCCAGGTCCACATGATGCGCCATCCACTACAAGCCCAAAATTTGGTACTTCTGTCCCAAAGTGTGCATCGTATCCAAAGCAGTTTTCCTTTTGAACACCCTGTACCTTTATATCACGAAATGTAGTGTGCTCACCTCCACCAGGAATTTCGTCAATGCCACTACAGTGCAACAAACCACAGAAAACATTTTCTGGTTCACATGGATAAGGCCCTCCTCCTCCTCGATGCACCGTCAGCCCACAGTTTCCAAATCGATCACCTTTCACATTCAATTTTTGATAGCATGCTGGCGACCCATCTTTTGCTTGCAGGCCAAAAAGGGATTGACACTGCATGTCACGGTCAGTACAGTTTCCCACCCTACAAACGGCTAATGGTGAACACGGGGTTCCATCCTGGACATAGAAGTCATTGGGACAAATATGTGTTTTCCCGTCACAGTATTCAGGTAGATCACAAACGCCTCTCACCTGTCTGCAAATCCATCCAGGTTGAGCATATTGACATCCTTTGCAGCAAAGTCCTTCACTGCATTGACTGCCAAGGGAGAGGAGACATTGTGTCTCACAACACTTGTTACTAACACATTCTTTAATCGAGCCACAGTCACATTCTTCGTTCTGATTTATGATCTTGTCACCACAACGAGGAGCTATATAAGGAAAATTATTGTATGGTATATTTACTCTACTCAAACATTTTTCCCATGAATGAGTCCATTGATGCAGAACCTGATAAGAACAATTGCTCATCATATCTAGAAGACCAGGCTGAGGTGCCATGACACAGTTTTCTCTGCGAAAACAGTGACAGCCAGGTTTATCATGTTGAAGGTTTAAATGATGACCGAGTGTGTGTGCTAAAATAGTGGCGCCTAAAAATATGTGATATTCTACTACACATACATATACTGCTCCCCAGTTTGGGTTGCACATTGAACCAATAAAAGTAAAATAGGTGGACCCTCCAAGTTTCTTTCCTGTAAGAAGCACTGAAGTATCATGATCAGTATGAGGATACACATTATAATATTTCCACAAACCAAAATCTCCTGTAGCATCTCCAGCATCGTGTTCGTTTAAACCTATCTTATCATTACCACTCCATATACACATCATACGTATCATAATATCGAAATGACTCTGTTGATATATGGAATGCACTATGTTGTTTATGATCACCACATTCTCTATTATACGTGTCTGATTGGTGTCCAGTTGAAATAAAGAGTTACTAATTGTGTAGTGCAGTTTTACATATTTCCTATGTGGCCACCATAAATACACTGGACCAGCTCTAGGAGTTTCAGCAAGTATCGCCTCATCATATGGTAGATTTGCATCTTCCCCCTCTATCTTACACCTCGCAGTCTCTGAGGATTGTTCTTCAGACACAAGCAGAGAAACGACATGCTCAAATTTGGTAGAAGCATCCAGTGGTTTGATTTCGTAAGTGAAGTCATCCACCTGCAGCATGCCTCGCAAGCCCCCCATAGCAAGTGTCCAGCGTGCCCATGGACCCAGGAACCCCTTCCAGGTAGCTGTAGTAGTAACAGTTTCGAGGCACAAAGGGGTAGTCCTCCTGCATGGCACCTTGGTCATTATCTGTGATAACAGGAAAGTGTCTGGGCAGCAAGTTCTTCTTGACTTTCATGTGAATGACATGTCTGTGGCCCCTGAAGTGAATCTTGTAGGAGAGCTGGCCTTGTGCCCCAGCCCCACTCACCTTGTGGGACACCTTCCTGGGGATCACAACTTCAGAGGCAGTGAAGCGCCATCCTGGTAGGGCATGGGAGCAGCAGACCTGGGACAGGAGTAGCCAGAGCAGACCTGTCAGGTGAAGCTGGACCCAGGCAGGCCCCATGAGTGAGGGAGCTTGTGACCAAAGAAACTGAAGTGAAGGGGGGTGGGGGGGGGGTTCGGAGGTGTGGGAGGAGGGCAAGACTAAAATAGAAAGAGCAACTTTCCCAAAAGTGTAGTCAGGAGGAGAGCAGAGGCTGGTGGTTTGGCAAGCCCAGAGGGGTGGAGGGTGAGGGGGATGCTATTACATAACAATGGTGCATTGATTAGGTCAGGCTGTGCTCAGTGATGTGGGGACCCTGGGGAGAAAGGGCCCCTGGTCTCTTGGAAAAGACACAGGGAAAGAATGAATGGACTTGGTGGCAATTTTAAGACAGTTACTGGTCTTTTCTTTCACACCTAGAGGACATAATACATCATTATGTGATTAAAATAGAGAATGGGCAGGAGATTGGAGCTTCTCCTTAGAAGAAATTTGAGGAGAAAATTAGATTCTCTCATACTGCATAAAAATCAAATCTTGCTGGGACTGCATGATGGAAAGAGGTGTCAGTAGATGTCATGAGTAGACAAAGTAGTATGTATAGTAAAAATTTCTCGAGTGAACCTAATAGCTACCCTGTGTCCTGGGGATTCTAGGTCAAGATGCTCACTCTCATTCTCTCTCTCTTTCCCCCCTCTTTTCTCTCTCCTGTTCTCCCCCACCTCCACTAACCCACTCCTCATGCACACTTACTCACCCAGGATAGGTCATATAAGGACACAATGACAAGGCAGTCATCTCCAAGCGAGGAAGAGAGCTCTCATCAGAAACAAAATCAGCAGAAATCTTGATCTTAGACTTCTTACCTCTACAACTGCAAGAAAAATAATTCCTATTGTTCAAACCACCAAGTTTATAGTGTTTTGTTATAGCAGCCTGAACAATCTAACAAAGATTTTGGTACTCAGAAGTGGGATGTTGCTGCAGCAAATACATAAAAATGTGCAAATGGCTTTGGAATTGAGTGACAGGTAGAAGCAAAAAGAGTTTCCAGACATGTCCTTTAAAAAAAAGCTAGACTGTCTTGAAAGAATTATTGGTGAAACTATGGAAGTTGAAAGTGAGTTTGTATAAATGTACCATAATTTTTTGATCCACTCAATTACTGATGGGCACTTAGGTTGCTTCCATCACTTGGCTATTGTAAATTGTGCTGCTATGAACATTGGGATGCATAGGTTCTTTCAAATTGGTGTTTCAGAGTTTTTTAGGGTATAATCCCAGCAGTGGAATTGCCAGGTGAAAAGGCAGTTCCATTTTTAGTTTTTTGAGGAAATTTCTTACTGTTTTCCACAGTGGCTACACCAGTCTGCATTCCTAGCAACACTGTACTAGGGTTGTTTTCTCCACAACCTCATCAGCACTTATTTGTTGATTTGTTTATGATGGCCATTCTGACTGGTGTGAAGTGGTATTTCACTGTGCTATTAATTTGCATCTCTCTGATGGCTAGTGATGCTGAACAGCCTTTCATATGTCTCTGGGCCCTCTGTATATCCTCCTTGGAACACTACACTGCAGAAAGAAAGAAGGAGCTCTCACCTTTTGTGACAGCATGGGTGGAACTGGAGAGCATTATGGTAAATAAAATAAGCCAGGTGATGAAAGACAAATACCATATGATCCCACCTATAAATAGAACCTAATCAACAAAACAAACAAGCAAATAAAATATAACCAGAGACTTCGAAATAAACAACAAACTGGCGGTAGCCAGAGGGGAGAGGGGAGAGGTAAAATGAGGGAAGGAAGGGGAAGGGTCATCAAGGAACATATATAAAGGACCCATAGACAAAGCCAAAGAGGGGTAGGATTGAAGGAGGGAGATGGGGGTTGGTGTGACCAGGGAGAGTGGGGTGGGGAATGGAGACAACTGTATTTGAACAACAATAAAAATATTTCAAAAAGTGAGGATGTAGAGAAAAGGGAACCCTCATGAACTGTTGGTGGGATTGTAAATTGGAGCAGCCACTATGGAAAACAGCATGAAGTTTCCTAAAAAAATTAAAATAGAATTACCATATGACCCAGCAATTTTACTTCTGGGTATTTATCTGGAGAAATCCAAAACACTAAATCAAAAAAATATATATGTACTGTGGGGGATCCTCAGCCATCAGAGTTTCTCCTGGTTGAGATGAAAAGAAAGGAGTTGTCTTGGACACAATTTGTTGTTCTGGTGAGAAAGGGAGTGGCGATTCCCTGTAGTGGAGAAATCCCCGAGTCCTTCTCCAAAATGGCTTTTATTAGGATTGGAATTTGCAGGAGTATACAGCATGCATGCATAGCTTATCAACAATGTCAACAATATATCTATAGATAACAATTGAAGGAACACGGAGATCTGCCTCAGGGTCTGTGAGACATGCTGACACCAGATGGTTGTTAAGGCATGTTTCATGATGCAAGGAGTTTACTCCTTATGCTTTCAGCTTAATCATCTGGTTTATATCAACAAGGCTATACCAAAGCAAAACAAGTTTCAAAGGATACAATGCATTTATCAGGCCTGATTTCCCACAGCAACCCTCAATGTTAGTGTCAGGCCATGTCTGCCACCTGCATTTCCTGGCTTTCCAGTGAGATTTATTGGCCTCTTTCAAGGCCTTCTCTCAAGGGGCTACAGTCTCCAAAACCACACAGAGCAGTCCCCAACATCTCCCCCTTTTTTGTTTGTTATGGCAGACATGGTGGTAAGTCCAATGAAGCCTGCTACTTGCTTTTTGCATATACAATCCCTACAAAACAATTTGTGTATACATTTCAAGGCACAAAAGACCACAATGATTAGCAGGCATCTCATAACCCACATGACCCAGACATGCAGATTTAGTCCTTAAAACCAAGTTTTTGTATTGAGCTATTGTAAAATGTCATGCAGGGTCTGAAAGACCTCCTCCTCAGTGAGTTGTTTAGTGTCCTGGAATTGTTGATGTAGCTCAAGCTAGAGTTGATCAATTTGTCCCTTGAGACTGGAGGAAAAGGTGCCTCACTAGTGATGTTGGATCTCCTCCCATGAGTGCTGACTAGAGTTCCACTTCAGGGCAGTGACACACAGCTTAGAGAAGCTTGGATCACAAGTGAGTTGTTGGCGAGTGACAAGAGTGTCTTCATCATCTGTACTATTTCTTCCTGGATTGGGGGAGTCCAATGGAATTGAGGTGGGTCACGGAGCGGGGTAGTTTTTTTCTATGATATGGCCTCACCCTTTTCGCCGGCAGTTCCAAGGGTTCTTCTGAAGAGGAAACACAAAAGATACCCTCTTCCCTAAGTTAGTAAATCAACAGGTTTCTTGTGGTTGGTGAGGTAGGAAAAGCCATACAATGATTTCAAATTTGGCGGTTAACTGTCTAATTTGAATTGCTTGATTGACAAGACTTAGCTCAGCTCCTGTAAGTGAGCAGGGAGAGACACCTCTTCGAGGTTAATTGGAGGCCTCCTCTTCTATCGGCTTCAAGCCCTTAACCCTTGGCTGCCTGTTGTGCAACAGGCAGAGAACAGTATGAATGAGGATCCAAGTGAAGAGGCATCGAGAGTCTATGTCTGCTCCAAGCTCTTGGTGCTACTTTAGTTCCTGCCCTACCTTCTCTAAGACCAGGAGATGCAAAGATCCCTTGCCTGGGAACCAAGGGCAATAATATTTTAACTTCTTGTAAAAGATAGATTAAGTGCTGGTCCTTGACCTGGCAGCCCGCTGCTTTGAGCAGCTGCTGGAGCAATCAAAAGTAAACTTCTTGTCCCTTCGATAGCCCTGTTCCCATCTCTGTTAGACGGCAGAAAGATAGTAGAAAGATCTCTTTCCTCTTAAGAATTAAACCTGAGTGGGGAGTTGAGGGGTCAAACAGTGGCCTATTTCCTGGGAATGACCTGAGAAGCAGTTTGTTCCATCCTTAGAATGACCTTCCCCCCCTTTGCTCTGCTCATGAATCTGGAGAAAAGAACAGTTGAGGTTATTAGGCTCCAAGTGGCAGGGTAGTCCCCAACATGTACCCCTATGTTCATTGCAGCATTATTTACAATAGCCAAGATATGGAAGCAACCTAGGTGTCCACTGATAAACAGATGGATAAAGAAGATGTGGTATAAATATACAATGGAATATTATTCAACCATAAAAGGGAATGAAATCTTACCATTTGCAACAACATGGATGGACTTAAGACTGTATTATGGTAGGTGAAATAAGTCAGAGAAAGACAAATACCATATGGTTTCACTATATGTGGAATCTGAAAAAAAATGAGCAAAAAACTAGAAACAAACTAACAGAGAACAAATTCATGGTCACCAGATGGGAAGGGGGATGGAAGATGGGTAAGAAAAGTGAAGGGATTGAGGCTTCTGGCCAAGATGGAGGCATAGGTAGATATGCTCCACTTCCTCACACAACCAAAAAGACAACAATCAATTTAGACACAGAAAATAACCAGAACTGCCAGGAAATTGAACTGTATGGAAGTCTGATAATCAAGAAGTTAAAGAAGAAACCTTCACGCAGTCTGGTAGGAGGGGCAGAGACTGGCAGCCAGGGCGGAGAGAACATCGCAAGGTGGTCGCTGGTAGATGGGGTGGGTGAGGTGGTGCCTGGCAGACTAGGCAGTTCCACATTTGTGTGCAGATAGGCTGGGAAGAACAACTAGTAAGTGAGACAGAACAAGCAACCCAGGGTTCCAGTGTGGGCAAATAAAGCCTCAAAACTTCTGGCTGTAAATATCTGTGGGGGTTGTGGTGGCAGGAGAAATTCCTTGAATCACAGGAGAATCCATTGGAGGGGCCCATGGGGTCCAAGAATGTACACAAACCCACCCACCTGGGAATCGGCACCAGAACAGCACAATTCACTTGTGGCTAGCATAGTAAGTGACTGAAAGTGAGATAAGAGATGAGCAAGGGGCATTGTCTCCTCTCTCACACCTCCCCCACATATAGTGTCACAATGTAGCCAAACAGGCTGTCCTGCCCTGGCTTATACCTAAGGCTCCGCCGCTTACAACATAACAGTTGTGCAGAGACTAAGAAATATGGTCCAAATGAAAGAACATATCAAAACTCCAGAAAAAGAACTAAGCAACAGGGAAATAGACAACCTATCAGATGCAGAGTTCAAAACACAGGTAATCAGGATGCTCACAGAAATGACTGCATATGGCTGCAAAATAAAGGAAGAAATGAGAGCTATACAAAGTGACATAAAGGAAAATATTCAGTGAACCAAAAGTGAAGGGAAGAAAAGTGGGATTCAAATCAATGATTTGGAATGGAAGGAAGAAATAAACATTCGACTGGAACAGAATGAAGAAACAAGAATTCAAAAAAATGAGGAGAGGCTGAGGAACCTCTGGGATAACTTCACATGTTCCAACATCTGAATCATATGGGTGCCAGAAGAAGAGGAAGAGCAAAAAGTTGAATACTTATTTGTAAAAATAATTAAGGAAAACATCTCCAATGCGGCAAAGGAACTAGACATGCAAGTACAAGAAGCTCAGAGGGTCCCAAAGAAGTTGGACCCAAGGAGGAACACAGCAAGGCACATCATAATTACATTACCCAAGATTAAAGATAAGGAGAGAATCTTAAAAGCAGCAAGAGAAAAGGAGAGAGTTACCTATAAAGGAATTTCCATAAAACTGTCTGTGATTTCTCAAAAGAAATCTTACAGGCAAGAAGGGGCTGGGAATAAATATTCAAAGTCATGAAAGGCAAGGTCCTACATCCAGATTACTCTATCCAGCAAAGCTTTCATTTAGAATGGAAGGGCAGATAAAGTGCTTCTCAGATAAGGTCAAGTTAAAGGAGTTCATCATCACCAAG